GAAAAGGCTGAGTTATTCTGTAGCCATTGTTGGCTAACAAATATTGAACAAGTGTCTACCTATATTTCTGAGATGAGGTGTTGTAATTATTTACATTATTTACATGTTCACTCAGAAGAAGGCTGGAGCATACAACGGCCGAAATGTAAATATGACAATAAAAATAAGGACAACAGTCTGAACAATGTAACTACTTGAACGAGGGCTTCTGCTTCAGCTATGAGATAGCACATTTGTTGTTTAACAGTAACTGAGCAAAAGAGGGAAAAGATGTTGACTACATGAAGAATGTTTTGTATACAGTGATCATGATTGATTCAATTGTGGTGTATGAACAATTTGATTGAGTTGAACATATCTTTAGTAGATTTTCACAAATGGGCTGTCTGAACATGGATTGGTATGCTCATTCATGACAAGACTACCAGATCATATAAAATAGTTTCTTGCATGTTCATGGATGCTATGAATGTGGACCAGCTTTTATGTTGGATTAGAGCAGTTTTAAAGATTATACAAGAACAATGGGACTAGTTATGGCAGCTGCACAATCCATGCAAAATGTGACAGAGAACCAAGAAAATGTTCATTTGTGATAGACGCCATAGACTAAATCATGTTACAAGGGATTGCTTGCATTGATGAGCATGAATAAATTGAAGATGGGGACCATACTATTATTGATGCCATGATATGGACTACATTTATTCTCTTCCCTAGACAAAATATAGACATGGTGCAAGATCAAGATTCATGAAAAACTGGGCACAGTTCTGATTGACTCTGGATATTTCCAGTCAATTATAAACAAAGTTATTGAATAAGAAGGATGTATGTGTGGTGATCATCAATAGTGAGACTCATACATGTTGTGGAGTTAGGATCGTGACCATAGGTACATGTAATACAAAATCAGTTACGGTTGATGCCATGCAGGAAAAGCCAATGGTTTTCAACCTATTGGTTGGAATAAATACCATCAGGGTATTAGGTGATATTCAGATTATACAGTCAGGTATAGGAATTTTTGTGGTAATGTACCACTTAGGTTTATGACTAATAAAATCTATGAATGCAAATTCACTGCACTTTGATCACAAACAGCTTTGTTCTCTCCTGTACAGTCATTATAAACCACAGGAAGCACTTCTGGCTATACCAGAACAGCAGGTCCAATTGTAACAGACATTTTTCTTTATCATTGCTCATAATGAGTGCAAGCATGTCCTCAAAAAAGCATAATCACTATTTGCTAATAGAATGAGACACCTTATAGCCTCTCACAAGTTTGGTTTTAGAGATTACTAGTGTCTCTGCACAAGTACAATGGTCATTTAAGAAGTTCTAAGCCTAAGACAGAAGAAGTTGGAGAAACAAGACAGTTTTTCACTATTTTTCAATATACTCCCCCTTGACATCAATGCACTTGGCCTTGCTTAAGCATTGCAATCCTTTCACGGAAGAAGGTGGCATCCTGGTCCTCCAAAAACTCTTCCACAGCATATGATCTCATCATTGTTTCCAAAGTGGCAACCATGGGATTTGAGTTTAAAAAACAGGAAAAAGTCAGATGGAGTTAAGTCTGTTGAGTAAGGGGGATGGAGTAGCAATTCAAAACCACAGTTGGCTGCTTCAGCTACTGTAACCTGAACAGTATGAATGTGTGTGTTATCCTGGAGCAAGAGCACACCTGCCCTCGGATTCCCTCTGCATTTTGACTTGATTGTTTCCTTCAGTTGTCTTAATTCTGGTGCATAGTACTGTCAATAGTTTTTTCCTTTTCCAGGTAGTCAATCATGATTATGCCTTCAGAATCCAAAAAACAGAAGCCATTACCTCTGCAGTTCACCTTCACAATTGCATAGGAAGGGGAGTCCTCAGAAAGTGTCTTTCCCATGTCCTCATGTATTTCCTTGGGTGTCATACCGTTTTTGCAGATACTTTATAACTGCTCAGGCTTTTGTTTTGTCTATTTTTAGATTTGTTGCACACCTCTTACCTTTGTATAGGCCTCACCTACACAGAAATTAAGACAGAAATCTTAATTAGTTTTATAAGAAGTGGTAGTGTCTTGCCACAACACAAATATTCAGCTATGCCTCTTCTTTCTGGGTGAGGCTTAGAACTTTTTGAATGACCCTAGTATGCTGAACAAAAGCAAATCCTCAGTCCCTCCTGTTTTCAATCAATTTGAAGTATCGACATCTACTGCAGATAAAGCAAAGTGTCTTGCTCAGAAATTCACTTCCAACTCCACTCTCAACTCATCTATAATTCTGCAGATTTGACAGTGTTCATGCAGTCATCCTAAAGAAATGTGCTCTTGAACTAGCTCCTTTTCTCTCTAAACTTTACAAGAAATGCCTGCTGCTTTTTATTATAGTTCCTGTTTTTAAGAGGAAAAACCTCTAGTTCCTGTTTGTAAGAGGTTTTCTCTGTTAAGGTAGTGGTCAGGAAATGTGTAGAATGCCAATCAAGAGATTTGACAAAGCATTCATTGTGGAATATTTTTTTTATTTTATATTTCATTTTGGTATTTGTCTATATTTCTGAGAGGTAGGTAAGTGTCAAGCTTTCAAAGGGAGAAGTTTTTCATTATTTCCTTAAATTATTTGATTTTGCTCTGCCTGAAACTGTATAAGTGAATTCTTTTGTTATTAATCTTGCATTCTATTGGTCTGAGTATCTCTTCCAACCCAGTTTTTGATTTTTCCCTTACGTGTCACAACTTACCAAAAGATGAGACATTCAACCAAATAAAACAGCCTTGTATGTATTTATGTATATATATTTTTTGTTTTTGTTTTTTTTAATTGCTGATGACAAGGAAGTTTGTTTCCCTTTATTTTTACTTTGTTAGGAGGTAAAAAAAACCGTCAAAACTTATATACCCACAGTTACCTAATTATTAACTTTAACTAGAATTATGCATTTGAAGAAACTTATGTGAACAACTATAATATTAAATTCCTTAATATTTAATATCCCCTGCTTACCCTGAGAGGTATTATTAATCCTACCTTAGCCTGGAAGATGTGTTTGACTTGTTTGGCTACCTCCTAAGAATGGTATCTCAATAAAAGTGCCCAGCCTCTTGTGCTGTAAACAGGCTAATAGGAGTAGATAGGTTCATCTATAACCAAGCTCATATTTCTTCCACATCTATTAAACAGGAGTAGAGGTTTATCCATATTTCTTGTTTTATATGTGGTTTCTGGTAAAGTAACTGTTTTAACATTTTGCTTATATGACTAATTTATCAGTGGCTGTGACTCTTTATTTTGAGGGTACTATGAATTTGTTAAACATTTCACCTTACAGAGTTTTATTTTAGACAATATAGCCTTCGTTTCTGTCAGCCACTGTGTTAAGTGTTATTACTGAAAGAATCTGTCAAGATTTAGATAGGAATGGTGAAACTCTGGCTTTAGATATCTCAAAGGCGTTAGACAGGGTTTGGCATACAGGTCTTTTCCACAAGTTATGATGTTTTTGACTGATTTTTTTATTTTTTTATTTGATTCAATCTTTCTTATCAAATCATGTAATGGAAGTTGTCTTGAATGTCCACTCTTCTAGATCTCCATTAATGGCTTCTTACTTTCCTGACAACTACAATCTTAAAAAATTAAGGGCAATGTCAATCATCATCTATCTCCTTCATGCCTGTTCTTTTATTGTCATCTTTGTTTCTTTCACTCTCACTAACCTCTTTCATTTTAGTAGCTTTTATCACTTTGTCAGGGGTGAAATGATAAAAAAAAAAGTAATAGCGATGTTCATTTATAATTTTTGGTGCATCTATACCCCATTAGGAAATGGAATTGTTGAAATAAGAAGTGCTCCATTTATTGTACAATTTATTAGTACAATGTAATACTTAAGGATAACACGTTAAATTTGAATGCACAAACACAATCTACTTCTATATTTGACAAAAGGACATCAGCACATTGCTTTGTGGGGTCTTGTGATAAAGCATGAGGTATGCAATGTAGAAAACATATTGTGAGACACAGATCTTGTGCCAAAACAGATGGGATAGCTGAATGTAAAGGTAATAGTATGTGGCACCACCATAACGTGACATCATGGAAGTGTCCCGACCTCTCACAAGTCAGCATAAATATTGGCTTGACTGCTCATGTCAGTATGAATAATTGGAGTTCAAATGGACCATGATAGTGCATGCCAGACAGATGGGTCTTTCCATTTCTGAAATAAAGTTTGGACTGTAGAAAACTGGTAATGTGTAGTGTGGTCAGACAAGTTACAGTTCCACTTGTTTAGACTCTATGAGGCCATGAACTTCAGTTGTTAATAAGACACCATGCAAACTGTTGGTGGTTTTCACAATGGTCTGGCGTGTATTCACATGGTATGGATTGGATCTGTTGCTCTGCCTAAACGTCATTGGTGACTGCCTTGTTACCATTTTCACTCCATGTACTCTAACAACAACAAAGACATTATTTTTTAATTTTTTTAAGATAAAGAAGCAAAGGGCTAAAATACTGAAGTTCTGTAAAAAACAATTATTAGATAAAATATGAAAGATAATAAATTTTTTTTTTGTCATACCAGATAATCAACAGACCTTGTGAATTTCATTAGAGTAAGGAAATATTTTGTTTGGTTATTTTAATATATTCTCTTGAAATTTAGTATTTTCCAAAATAATCTATCTTATTTTCTACAAAAATGCATCAAATCAAAATTGACTGAATTACAGAAATGGATTTTCTTATAACATAAAGTATTTTTTAAATAAATTTATAACTTAAATAAAATAAGTTTACATGAAAAAAAGTGGAGGAATGTGTTTTTAGATTTAAAGTTTATTTTAATATTTTTGCTCTTTTGTTCAAAGCTTGTTTTCAAATTTTTTAGAATAAGAATTTTAAGTTAATTTTTCATGATTTTGTCTTTAGTTGTAATATTTTATTTTATTTTATTTTATTTTTGCCTTATTTTGTACTTTTTTAAATTTTTTGTTACAGGGCAAACTTGGCAATTTCAGAAAAATATCAAAAGGCTGAATGTAAGTTTTCTTTCTTGTGTGTGTGATTTATTATTCTTTTATATTTTGTAATTTTTTCTTAGGTTTTCTGGGTAAAAATCTGAATCCTTGCAAAGGATATTTTGAGTATATTTTTAATCTCAAGAAATCAATTATATGTAAAGTTTTGAACAGTTGGTACTGTAGGTGATTATTTTTAGGCAATTTTAAAACTGATAATTTTAGATTTGGCAATGATTTTTCTGAAAATGTTTTGATAACATTTGAATGTATATATGTTTTAATTGATAAGTTATCTACATGTGTGTCTACATATTTCCAGAATGCCTGCTATAGAGTAATGGTTAGCAAGTTTGTCTTGCTGACTGTTTTCCTAGAGTAGTGTGTTTGATTATCACTCTATGCTGCCACTATGTATGATACTATATCAGACTAAGCTAAATTCAGTCAATATCTATAACATATACTTTCATGCATGCACACACATATGCACCTCTAATTATTTTGTCACTTATTTTTCCAATTGAGTTTATATTAAATTAACCCCACACTGAATTAAAATTAGCAAATTCTGTCAGCCACATTCTTTAGTTCCACCACTTCAGGCCATCACAACTGGGACCCACCTTGCCATGTATACAGTTCGCTCATCCTCATTCCTTTCATATTCATTTGGTAAGGAGGAAGATCCATTTAGACAGCTTCATCCTCAGTACTGTCACTCTGCAGAATAGACTCTCAAGAGGATGCTTCCCCCGATCACTACAATCTTAACTTATTCAAGTCCAGGGTCAACCATTATCTATCATTCCTTATCCTCATTATATGCACTTCTTACTTCATTCTTTTATATCCTTACAGCAACCTAAAAAAGTAATCCTCTACCTTGAATATTTCTAGTCTAAACAGTAGATTAAAAAAGAAAAAATATATAAATACATCAAAAGATTTTTGTCAATGAATATTTAAATTTTTATTTTAACCATAAAAATCAATAAAATATTTTGGTGTAATAAAAAATAAAAGTTTAGAGTTTAGAATTTGAAATTATAATTTAGGTAATATTGTTAAAATATAAGGTTGTTTATTCATTTTATTTGACTTTTATTTATTCTTTAAACATTTGAAACTTTTTGAAAGTGTAAATTCATTGCCTTAATAAGCATCCATGTAAGATAATACTTTTTTTAAAGGCACATTAATTGAATAAAATAAAATATACATCCTATATAAATAGTACTTTTATTATATAATATGTTAAATTTATATATCACTAGAATAAAAAGTTAGCAAATTATAAAGAGTAAGTATTTAAATTTAAAAATTACTTTTTATTGCCGAATGAATAAATTAGTTTTTGATCTTTACAAATCATTGGTTTTGTTTTAATTTAAAAACTGTTTTCATATTTAAACTTTTCTTACTTAGTAAAGTGTATTTCTGTTTCTAGTACAATGTTTTAGAAATGGTAACAATGTTATCTGATGTTTCTGACTAGAAATTCAAAGATCATCGTATACTGGGTGTAACAGCAAAATTGTCCAATTGTTAGTTTAAGCTCTGAACCATTCTATCTTAGAAATGATTAAAGATATCTTATTGGAATTCTCCAAGGTTTTTATAACGCTATTGAGTAATAAGAATGTATAATTACTCTCTAAGCTTAACAGAAGTATTGTAATTAAATTAATCAGAAATGAAAATGACATGTTCATCATTAATTAATCATAGTTAAGAATCAGGAATCTCATGAAGGATTGAAATAAAGTTCATATATCTCTATTTATAAAAAGCAGGATGTGTGTGTGTGTGTGTGTGTGTGTGTAACGAATGCACGGCCGCAATTTTCGATGGATTTGCACCAAAATTTACATGCACATGCTCCAAGTTAGCGGGAAGGCCAAGACTGACTTTGCGTTTCCCAACTCCCATCAATAGTGGAAATAATCAATTTTTTCATGCTTCTATGGCAGTTTTCATGTAGTTTGCGGCCATTTTCTACTGGCCAGCGTGAGAGCTAACAGCTGACTGACACGAATGTTAACTAGCATGCAAAAATGATCGATAGCTACATTCATCACAAGTGGGAAAAATTTAAATCTGCATGGCACTTTACTCCAATTGGCTCATTCGCTTGCTTAAACTCAACATTGATTCTGATTCTGCAGAACTGGGTTGGGTGTGAAAAAGTATTTGTTGTTAACATTCTTTTTTTATTCGGTTTTTCCAGTTATGAGTTCTGTTTTAAAGCTGATTGTTTTGTGTTCATGAGTTTAGTTCTTTTTTCGTAACAGATTTATTGTTTAGTATAGAGCTTAGAAAAAATTCGCAGTGTGAGATAGGCAAGAAGTAAGGCATGTAGCAACATCAGCATGGCAAAGGGCACTCCTTTAAAGGCAAGGAAGGGCAAAATATTTTAAGTCAAGTGATAGCGATTGCTGTATGAGTCGTACGATTTTTTGAATCAAGCACGGGCAATGATGGGCCATGCTGCTAGTATATATATATATATATATATATATATATATATATATATATATATATATATATATATTATTCCAGGATCATTTTCCAACTTATTCAAGATAATCTACACTCTGTCTAACCTTCTAACTTTTCTGTCCTGGAGTAACAAGGTGCCTCACAGGTTTCACATATGATTTCATTTTTGTGTCTTTTTTTCACTGCTCTTTGGACTGTCATAGCCATAACTCCTCTCTCATGTGCCAAACATCTTATGAATTGAGTTGGATCTTTTCTAATTGATCTCTTTAGCTCAAAGTTGAAATGATGATCTCTCTTCCTGTTGTGACTTCCTGATTCAGTTTTCCGCTTTACTGTTCCCTCTTTTTTAAACTTATTCACTATTCTCTTGATGGTTCTTGAGTTGAATTTGAAGATGGAAGCCAGCGTATGAATGTTAATACCATTACTGAAGGCCTGAATAATCTTTTTCCTCTCACGATTGCTCAGTTGGGAAGACAGTGAGACTGACACAAAATGATTTTAACCTGCTCTCTTTTTAGCTGAATAACAAAGGGTTTTTCACTGATTCTTATGAAAAATGGTGTCAAGATGGCTAAATGTCTTATCTGAAAACCTGGAAAAAAGAGACTCAATTAGTTTAGTGTTTTTTTAGATATTAAACATTTTGTGGGATGGATAATTATGCTGTTACACCCAGTATAATAATGAACAGTGACTTTCTCTGTATCTTAGTTATATAAAAGCAAGCATACATAGAATTAACAAGTGAATCCTGCCCTGATTCAAACCTGATTGGAAGTAAGCAAGTCAGTGACATATCCAATTCACCAGAGTTCTGCTGCTTGAACAGCACTGACTTTAGGCAGAAGTCCATGGCATGTGACTTTGATCCTTGGCAGATGTGTACAAATACTATAATCCTAGGTAGAAGTGCCACAATTATGTTATTTTTATAGATAGTATGTGAGTTATGAATATTTTCCAATCGAAGTTTACATTTAAAATCACAATTTTTTTTTAAAAACCTAGAATATAAAAACTTCAATATAATAACACTAGAAAAGAGGAAGCTGCATAAAACTGCAGTACAAATCATTTTGCATAGTTTACTGAACTGTGATCACAATTTTATACCTGCTTGTTTTCTTTCTGTAGAATTTTTTTAAGGTATTAAAATTTCATGAAAAATGACTTTGCAGTTGATATGACTCTGCTTTTACTATATTCATGCAGAATAGTGAGAGTTCTTTTATTTAATAAATTGTTTAATCTAAAAAGGTATAAAATGAAGATGGATTTTACTTCAAATATATTTAAACATTTTTGTATGCAGTTAGAAACTTAAAATAAAAAAGGCAAATTAAAAAAATCTTTGTTATATTAGTATTTATATATTAGTAGAAGAAACATTTTTCTAACAATTGTTACCTCTTTATTGCACATATTTTATAGTTTTATGCTTTCAGCATTTTTGCTGTTTCTTATATGCTGATCTGATCTTTGACCATTACAATGAGAATTGTCAGGCATCATTCATGATTGGCAATTTGTGTTATGCAATTTGATGTTATACAAGTTTTATTATAAATTTCTGCAATATAATGATTAAAGAATAGAAAAATGTTATAAAACAAAACAAGAAGATTAAGAAACTAGTCAAAACTAATAATAAAATGTGGATAAATAAAAAAAGTCCATAACCTAACACAAAGTTGTTAACTGAATTTTAATCTGCAATTTTCTTTGTATAATTCTCATTTTGTGTGATTAATATTCACCACTTCACAAAGAATAAAATTGTATTGAAAAATAGGTATTTGTTATATAAAATACTTTGTTTAGGCTGTGAAATCTATGTGTGTGAATCTCAAAATAATTTCTACCTCTACTGTTGAAACAAAACAAGTTGAATATTGCTATTTCTATTTTCATATATACAAATTAATTTTTTGCTAATTGTAAATGCCATGAAAAACAATGGTAATAGCTCTTCTAGTTTCTTCTATATTCTATGAAGGTAAAAAGATTTGCCAAGTTACACACAACCTTTTTACTTTGAGATACCTAATATAAATTTTTTTATTTAAATGGTGAAAACAGTTTAGAAAAGTAAGTACCATAACAAAAAAAATCTATATAACTGACATCTTCTGTTTTTTGTTTTTATCAAATTTTGTGAATTTAGTATAAACATTTTTCTTTCAGGCAGCTATTCCTTAATGAAGAATTTGACTTTTTTAGCTTTTCTGAAAAACAAATATTTGGTGTACCTTGCACAATATTCAAAGAAGTCTTTTTAAAAATTTTATTTTTATTTACTCTTTTCCAGTGAAATCTCAGGATCATCATCGTAGAAATTCCAAATCACTTAATGAATACACTCCTAAGGGTAAACACGAAGCTTCTGAATTAGAGGTAAGTTTTTTTTCTACCTTCATCATTTAGTGTTTACATGAATATGTCATAAAAAGAGAATTAATTTCTCTTTGTAACTAAGAATATGAAAAAATAAAATTGTCATCCAAGCAAATTATATTACATTGTATGTCATCTTCTGTTTAGATTAATTCTAATGAAGATCACTGATAGGAATCAATTGAATAGTTTTACTGAATACAGTTTTAGTTTTTCCTTCTCTTTTACAGATCCTTTTTAAGGCATAAACTGTTCATTGGCTCAGCACAGTAAACTATGTAAGTCATATAAAATCTGGGGGCAATAGATGAAGTGGATATACAGTTCATTACTAGTTAAGACAATGTGAAAGATGAGGTTTTAGTTGAAGATATAGAACTTTTAAATTGCAATAAGGGAGATGAGTGCAAGCAATATAAGTTTGGATCAATAATAACTTTTATAAGTAGTTACAATACAAGAGTAGACAAATCAAGATATTACCACAATTAAAGGCTTGTCTAAGTTTAGCTAAAAGTTAAATAGTATGAGTAGTCAGTGTGTAGTAGATCATAGCAAAATGTGAGGTGACAATTGCTACTAGCAAGTAAGGAGCTGAGGATAAGAAAATGATGGAAAGAGTAAGTGAGGGGAAAGTAAAGCTAATTCCATGAATCAAATGGAAATGTAATTGTGATAATATGAAATGTGATATTAAATCCCAAGGAGAGATTGATTAGAAATACCTAAGATGAGAATCAATCATGCTATGGAAAAGTGAATTGGCATGGATTATGAATTATGAAACAAATAAAAGATAAGGATAAGAACTGTGAAAAGTATTTAATAACAATAACATGATTTAGCACCTGGAATTATCTGGATTTTAACTGTAAGGTAACCAAAAAAGTCCTTCCCTTATCTTGTGTGCGAAGAAGTGATCACTGATATGCAAATCAGTGCATCACATGCTAGAAAAGGGATGGGGTCATTACTCTTGAGCAGCAGCAAGGAAACCTGACAGTGTTGAAGCAACTCATTTGGAGTTGTCTGCTTTATGACTTTAAACTGGACTTGTCTGAAGCCGCATCAAGTCACCAAATATGACAAGCCTTTGAGGATAATGCAGTGAGTGAACGCACCACCAGGCATTGATTCCAGAAGTTCAGGTTGGGAGATCTGTCCCTTTGTGATGAACTTTGCAGTGGCTGGCCATAGATCTTGAATGATGAGGCTCTGAAGGTGGCCATAGAGGAGGACAACAGCCAAACCTGATACTCCTCCAGCAAGTGCTGAATTTTGGATTACCTCCTATAGGAGTGACAAATTAGAGCACTGAGTGGGTTGGCTACCAGCAGTTCCACCTCACTCACCGGAGAGTTGTATTTGTTCTGACGGATGTGTCTTTTTGACAAAACAGGGCCTGTTAGTGAAAGCCACAATGGGTCCCAGTGTTCATTTCAGGAATTTAAAAAGTCCACAATAGAGTTCTGATAGCATACAATACTTTAGATTGTAGGTTTTTCCAGTGTATAAGATGGTGTTTGTTGTTTGTAGCCACTAATTGTTTAGTCTTCCATAAAATCCCATTATAATATTCACATAGACCATTTACCTTGGGGATTATATGGTGTGGTTTGATTCACCATCACATTCCTTTCAATAAGGAATTGATTCAACAGTTCTGACATAAAGGCTGTTTCCTGTTCAGTGTGGATGTATGCTGGTACTCTGAAAAGCAGAGACATTGTATGGCAGTTTTAGCTGAAACATCAGGGCAAGAAAAAGCAAACTGGAATTGAGAGTATTCGTTAATCACTATTAGAAAATATCTATTTCCAATTTTACTTGGTAGTGGCTCCTGAAATCTGTCAAGCATTTATAAGTGTTGTGTGGCTTTAATGAGAATTCATGGTTTGTTTGTAGAACTGGGATTTGGTCATGGAGCACATCTAACAATTTGTAATCCACTTGTCGTGATGGAGAATGGTAGATTTTGACTACAGACAACATGTAGCATTCTAGTGATACAGCTTCTTATTTAGGTTCAGATCTTCAGTGCCCTTTACTCTCCTATACACCCTTGGAATGGCATCAGCCACTGCATCTTCCTTGCCAAGATGATAGCCAATGTCAAATGAAAAACAAGAAAGCTCAATTCTTCATCTGGTTATTTTCTCGTTTTTTATTCAGCTAGTTGTCTTAGGGCTGTACATGAATGCTGCAGACTTTTGGTCTGTGAATAGTCTAAAGTGACAGCAGATCAAGTTATATTATTATTTCTTTAGGGCCTCCACAATGGCAAAAAAACTTCTTTTTCTATTGCTGTATATTGTTTTGCCGACCGTGAAAGTGTTCTAGAAAAGAATGCTATGGTGTGGCCAGAGTGTCTGTTTCTATTGCTAGAGGAATAGTGGGATTTATTGTTGTGATAGTAGAATTGGTGATATCCCTTTTTAAACCTTTGATAGCAGGAGGAGTTAGAAGGAAACTGGTAATTTGTGTTAATGGGTGTATTTTCTCAGAAAACAAGTCTACCCAGGGGAAATAATGTGTGAACTGCTTGAGATTATGATCATGGTCAGTTTTGTCAGGGCTGCATACTGTTATGTTGTCTGTGTAAGTGCTTTTCAGTTTTTCCTCATTTATCTTATCAATGACACTTTGGAAGATGGCTACACCATCTGTGATTCCAAACAGAACTCGTTGAAATTGGCACAGTTGTCCGCATGCTTCAAAAAGCTGTGTAAGTTTTGTTTTTTGGGGGTTTATTTCTATCTGGTGATAGTTTTTGAGATCCAGGGTGCTAATTTGTATTTTTGTGATCTTACCAATCATCTTGTTAATGTCAGATAGCAGATAGCTATTGACATGTGGCCATGATGCCTAGGGAGAAAGATTTTCTCACCAAGTATTGAGGCAGTTGGGGATGCCCTGAATTTCAGCTCATGTTAACAATAAAATTAAATAATGGTGCAAGCAACAAGACCTTAGAGAAGTTGATATAAAATTTTATGTAACAACAAATAAGTTAACTGCTAAAACAACAAGAGAACAAAAGAATGACTATGAAAATATATACAGTAATCAAGGATTGATAGAGTTCAAAACCATAAAAATGAATGGGGGTGAATCAATGAAGTTCTCTTTCCTTTGTGGAATAGTGTATGCAAACTTTGGTGGGGTTATGGAGTGTTTATCATTGAGGTCGAGGGTGAAGCAAGTGATATTTATCTTGATTCTTCATATTATTATTATTATTGGAATCTCTTTTTTTTTTTTAAATTTCTTTGGTTCTTTTCAATTTTGATTTTATTCAATTTTTATATTCTCCTCTCATTTTGCGATCAGTTTCTCTGTCTCCTTGATTTTTCTTTGTTTGTATTTCCACTGCATGCTTCTCGGTGTGTTATTGCATAATCCAAGCAAACATGCAGTTCAAATCTCCATTAGGTTAATTCTTTATAATTGTCTTCGCCAAGACATGTTATCATGATGAGGGCTTTTTATTAAATTGGCTAGGCAGTTTAATTCTTCCCCCATTTAATCCAATGTTTAGGACATAGCATTTCGTTATTTGCAATCAACAGGTGCCGACTTTCTTTTCGCCACACATTTTCCTTTTTTCCAGCTTGCTGTTTAAATGTCTTGTAACTTCTCCTCCTATCCTCTCTACTTTTCATCATTGCAGGTATTTTATTTAGGTTCCATCTCAGCACTGATCAGAGCTAGCTGAGAAAGGGGAATGTAGAATTGTTTGCCATGGGCCCGTGTCAGCTGGCCTGGACTGTGTACATAATTAGCTTCACTTTGCCCTCTTCTCTTCCTATAACATCACAGAATCCAACTGTGTAAATTGGTTTATAGTTTACATGAAGTCTATAACCATTCACTTTATGTTATTTGCAGAGGATGTTATCAAGACTTGTGCACTTGGAAGATTTACTTTCTTTGATTATTCTTTTTCTTAGCATTCTGGATATTTCTGATTGAATAAATGTTTTGTCTTCAGAAGAATATCTAGATTTGATGGCTACTGGTTTACAGGCTAGCTAAATTATTAAAGAGTGAGGGGTATTGTACGTCTATAGCAGCCAGACTGCAGATATCTAACACTGGATTTGAGGCCCCCAATGGGGAATTTAACACTGGAGTACTAGCTGAAGACATCATGACCCAGTATGGCATTGCAGACATCATGATCCAGTATGGCATCCTGCATTACTAGCATTTACAAAACTTTGTGAGCTTCCTGTATCAACTAAAGCATTGATAGTTACTCTGTTAAATTTGACCTCCAAAATAGCCTTTGAAAGGCATTTTAGAGACGTAGTTGATACTATATTGGTTGCTAGCCTTGTCTGCACTATTGAACTGGGAGAAGAAACGTACTGGCAAACCTATAAAAATTGCCTTTTCTTTTTTCTTTTTTTAAGACTTGTGACATATCAACTTTCACTCAGGACATGATGAACAAGCATAAGAATTGAGTTCACAAAAATAACATTTATGCCAAGCAGAAGAAACAGGTTGTTCAAAAGATTCAGAGAAGGGTTTTAGAATTGTATGAACAAGAGGAGTTTTGAGCATAAGTTGGGACAGAAATGAAAGGTTTTGAAGAGGGAGACAAAGTATTCTGGGCAAATGAAAAATTATCAATCTGACAACTTAAATTTCATTGTTTTCTGTCACAGTAGAAAATTGAAAAGGATATTTTTATTTCTCATATGATGATCACATTTATAAAATCCTAATTTACTTTTAAGGAATAAAAGGTCAAATTGTTTGAGAGTCATTTCTATAATCTGTACAGAAAAGTTTATACAAGCAGAACTAATATTTGGATATTTTTTTATTTAAATGACTTAATTTTTCTTATAAGATTCTTATGCATTTTATAATTAGCTAACAAATTTGAATATATTATTGAATATTTATTAGATAAATTTATTTATTTTGAAATAAATCCGCTATATTACATTTACTTGTTTACTTAATTTTGTATTATGGATTTATAGCCT